TGTTACGCTTAAAGATGATATACAGACCAGGCAACTGGGAGTAGATCTGCCTCAGCATTGAGATCGGCGCAGAATTTGACTAACGGTCTGTAAGGGTGGTACATGATAAGGCAACAGTCCTTAAAGTAGCAAAAAATTTAAACAATAAAGTTTAATGACAAAAATCTCATTAAAATTATATTTTTCTGATTTTATCAGTCTCTATTTTATTTTTTTGTATAAATAAGCTACTGAAAGCTGAAATACTGTTCTGTTTTTGAAATTTGGAACTATTGAATCAATGTAAGTGCAAGAAAAAAATATTCAAATGATAATTTCAATCTACTTAAAAACAATAAATTGAAACATAAAAGAATTACCATCATTTCAAGAAGATAGAATTCACATTCCAAAACATGCTGAGTCCTGTAAGGATATTCTCCACTAAATGCATGGCCAAATTTATTTTTCACTGCAAATTCAGAGGATTAAAAACTTTGTATTTATAGTTATCTGACTTAGATGAAAATCTACATTGATTATATTTACAAGAGCTTGAATATTATGTTTATCAAAACTACTATAGAAATAAAATAAAAATTACCTATACTTTGACAAGCAGTCATTAGTCGACTGTTGGAAATGACACCAAATTCCTGAAATGTAATGCAGTATTATTTTGGCATTAAACCACTTTAAGTAACACTTGGTAAAAATCTTTTAAAAATAATTTCTTCTAAGTGCTGAAAACTCATAATGTTCAACAGACATCAAGAGGTTGTAGTTGGATTATACATCATTATTTTATTATTATTGATATTATTTTTGTAGAATTTTATTATATTTATTTACTTATTTTAAATTTCTTAATTAATTATATACAGAGGAACAAGAACTGTGAATCCTTGCTTAACTAATGCAACATTACAAAACTTTTGCACAATTACCTAATAAGAAATAACTTTAAAAAAACAACAAATACTATAAAAACTCTTATATATATAATTCTTCCATTGTGTGGCTATTGATGAGCTACCAGCACACATGTTCAGGCTGTGATAAAGATAATAGAAGAACACTAGGCGTTTCCTTAAAACACCTTTTACTATGTATATACAACATATTATGGGAAGAACAAAAAATATTATTTAAGATTAAACAAAAAACAAAGAATTGCATTTATGGGTACCTCCACTTTAGATGCTAGAAATGCACATGTTGGTGCCATCAGCCAAGGATCAATACATTTTAAAGAATTCCTGTAAAAACAAAACATAAATTGACATGTTATATATATATATATGATGACAATGTCATCGATTCCGAAGATTAAGGATGTGTGCAATGATTCACATAGTTATGCTAACCCAGTTTATATTCTGCTGTATTCTAATTCAAAGTGAGACTTCTTCCTCAAAATTCTTTAACATTTACTCTAAACCAAGGATCTCATCTCATCTCTGTCTGTAGTCCTTTCTGGGGAATAGGCCACCAACCAGCTTCCTCCAGGTGTCTCGCTTCTGTGCAAGTCTCTCCAACTGTCCTCACGCCTTGTCCATCTAATTGGCATCTGCTTCCAAATCACGTCGCCATGTATTCCTGGGCTGTGCCCTCTTCCTCTTTCCTTGGGGGTTCCAGGTTAGGGCTTGCTTTGATATGTTGGATGCATGCTTGCGAAGGGTATGGCCAATCCATCTAAAGCATCTCCGAAGGATATCTACTTCAATGGGCTGCTGCTTTGTTCTTTGCCACAGTTCCTCATTTGATATTGTCTAGCCAGTGGATTATTTTTTTCATGGTGGTGATGGTGGTTCTCCAGGTCTCTGCTCCACTTAATAAAGCAGAGAAACCAAGGATTTTTTTTTTTATTATTTCAGCTGTTACAAGATTTTCTATGCTGAATTAACAATAGATAGCAGTTTGATGCTGCACAGACAAAAAGTTAAGATTTGAAAACTTAAAATATAAATCAATAATATGAATAGTAACATATAAATATACATATTGATACACTAAAAATTGGTTATCATAACCTTTAAAAATAAATAATGCCCCAAGGCTAAGAACACATTTTACCTTGCATAAAATCGTTTGAAATAAATCGTTGCTGTAGCTATAACTTGCTGCCTAAATTTCAGCTGTTCTCCAAGTGCTTGTATAACTGCAAGTTTAAAACATAAGAGTTCATTTTTTTTATTTCAACTCTCATCCATATGTAATTAGCTTTTTCATATGTTGATATGTAACATACATCATGTACTAAACTAAATATTTACTTACCATTTGCAAAAAGCATTATAATTTTTTGATATTCCTCTTCAGTAATAACTGTTAAGTCATTATGTCTTTCCCTATATAGATCTTGTCTGTCAAGTATCCATTGCTGGCTGAAATGTTGAAATACAAATAGTCAGATTACTGTATAGAAAGAGAGTGGTCTTCTCAAATGAAAAATAAATTAGAAACATTTTAAACAAATTGAGAAATGCTTGGGTTGAGATAGGATATTCCAAAACATTTAAACAAGCTAAGTCTCATATGTCATAAATTTACAGACAATACTCTTCAAAAGAGAAGAGAATTATGTCTTAAGCAGTGTCAATCTAGTCATGCATGTTAATCAGTGCCTCTGCTAAATTACTGGTTTTCCTTAATGATTTAGGCAACCCATCAGATGCTCTAATAGCAATGGGGAAAAAGGAGCACTTGTACAAATTTGTCCTAGTATATATGGAATAAGAAATGTGCCATTATGTATGTTTTTTCTGAGTGTTTTATTAAGTTTTGTTTTTGTAAATTATGGTTCTGTGTTTTATATGTATTATTGCTTCTTTACTTTTTAGAATTCCGTCCTAAAGTGTATCTACATTTAGATTTTACTAATGGTGTTACTCTAATAAAATATAATGTTATAAATCCCATGGCTCTATTTTGCATCTGTTCTAGTTTCTTATAATAGTGTTTTCTTGAGTTGAGGGGTCCCAGACAGAGGATACATATCCAAATATTGACCTAACCAAGGTTAAATAGCACATTTTAGTTTTAGGTTCTTGTTCAATATGAAAAAAATATCAATAACCCCAAATACTTGGATTTTTTAATAATTTTGCAAACAAAGTGATTTCAGGATAATTTTTCATTCATTAGAACACCTAGATCGTTTGCGTAAATACAAATATTATACTATGAGCATCCTCATTTTGGAACCCCTTTAGAGAACCATTAAAAAAAGTTAATATTAAGAGATGCAAAATAGAGCTCTAAGATTAATAACAAAAGAAGAACACATTTGAAGTCAAAGTAGAAAACCATTAGTAAAATCACTAAATTTAGAGACAATTCAGAACAGTACACTAAAAAGTAAAGTGACAATAATACCTAAAACATTGACCCATAACTTTTTTTAATTACAATTTAATTTACAATTTATAACCACAACCAAAAAAATACTCACACAGACATAAAGATAAAACATTTATTTCTATTTATGTATTTCCATATTATAAATATGCTAGGACAAATTCAGTGAGTCTGAGTCTCTAATTAACATGCACATCTAGATTAACACATGTGGATATGGGTAGGACGTAAATATCTTCAATTCTGTTCTTTCAAGGAATGTCTGTAATTCATAAGATCAGATAAAAAGAAGGAAAATTGGTTTGAATGTGTCTATGCCAAGACGCATGGGAGTTTGCAGTACACAGTGCTACACCCTGGCAGAGCCTGTAAACTGTATCAGCACTTGCGTTCCTTTGGATACATCAGCTGCATGGAGAGGGGCAACTGCTTTGTTGGTCATATCATTCCAACCATAGCTAATACCCATAGTCATTACATTATCTGCCCCATAGATCACAAGGTCTGAAAGGGGAACTTAAATACTTATTTTTTTTTACTAATATTTTCTAGACTTGGACTCTATTAATACTATACTATTGTAGTATTATTACAATTGGACAGATCAAACGAGGCAGCAGCCTCAGCTAATTCATGGACAGCAAGTTGAAGCTCCTGTTTGGTTAGTGCAAGAAGAGCACAATCCTCCATATAGAGCAGCTCAGTACCAATCATCTCTTTTAATTTTTATATGGGAGAGCATGTGCTGCATGTTAAATATGCTGTCATGGATGCACCAAAGAATATTGCAAGTGTTGGAGCAAACACACAATCCTGCTTCATAGAGGAAAGTAGCTGTCGGCAGATGGCCTCTGAAAGAGACAGTTGTAAAGCTCTCACAAGGGCTGCGGAACAAACATTTGAGACTCAAAGAAAAGCTATTATTGAAGACAGGTGTAAAAGACGTAAAGAAAACTTAAATAGACAGCCAGCAGTAAATGGCTTTGTCTGCACAAGATGTGGAAAAATAGGCAGGTCACAATTGGGTCTGCTTAGTCATGTAAATTACTGCACGCATCCTTAATATTCGGATTCAAAGACATGGCAATTATTATTATATAAATCATTATTACTTTAATAAACTAAAATTGACTTTTAGATCTATATAAGTCTAGATCATAGATGATCTTGATCTAGATTTGAATCTAATTTAAGTTAAAGTAGATCTAGATTTAAAGAAATAATTTTAAAATCATTTTAAGGTATTTCAAACCTAAATGTAGACTCCATCATGGAGTCCATGTTCTATTTAGAAAAGATCTAAATTATCTAATTAGATCTAAAATAATCCCTCTACTAGAGTCTAGACTATAATGATCTATATAGACCTTATATATATATATATCTATAAATATTGACTTTAGACTTTAGTCAACTTTAAGATACTTACTAGTGAGAACTGGCCCAGAAATTTCCAGCCATTGAAATTGATTATAATTTTATTTTTTTATACTAAATTTATAGATCTACATTAAGTATAGATCTAGAGTCTATACATACAATGTATGATAATATGTATGATACATATTGTAACATATGATAAATGATATAGAATCTAGATTATTATTATAGAATAAAGTCACAAGTAACATAACGTCATAACAAGTAAAACAAGTACACCTAACACTGTGAACTACAGATCTAGGTTTATTAATTATTTAAAATGTTTTCATTTGAATGACCAATTTAAAGGATTTTCTTAAAGACAAAGAATAAAAAACTATTGTTTTTCCCCATTGAATTCAAGATTAAATTTAGATGTAGAGCTAGACATTCTAGAATCTAGATCTAGATTGAATCTTGAATATACGATAATCTAGTTCATTTGTAACAAGAGAAACAGAAAGTTGTAATTTTATAACCGGTATGGACAAAGTAAAAAAAATATTTTGAAAACAACGATTTAATCCTCTATCAAAATTTCTTATAATCATTAATATTAAAATAAAATTAGATCAAGTGTATATCTAAATTCTGTAGCAAGATCTATAATTTAAAAACTATCTAGACTAGATAGATCTAGATCTGACAGCTTCGAAAAAAAAATAGACATTCTAGACTATTGTATCATACACTGTATGATCCAGACAAAGAAACTTACAATTTTCAACCTAACCCTTAAAGTCATGTGATCAAAATATGGTGGCCTCACACATCCCTGCCCATTAAATTAAACTTAAACAACGGGAATTTGTTTTTATTTGCTAATCAAACATGTTTATAAAGCTTTCCTTTTTTAATGTGTGAGTAACTAGATCTTTTTTCTATATAGATCCGGAAAATGCAATCAACGGACTTTTTCTGTGTTGTAAAAAATCCATTCAATTTACAAACTTTTCAGGTTAGAAACTTGGTTATTGGTTTTTAATATTTTTTAAGTAGGTACTTCGATAAAAATTTAAAAATGATCACAATGCAATGGAACCTATTTGTTTAGATAGAGCTTGAGAAATGCTTACCAATGATACCAATTTTATATTGCTGAGTTAATTATGAGGGAAGTTATTAAATTTTTAGTGGCCAAAAATTAGCCTTTGTAAAGCAAAAAAAAAAAATCTGTGACCGAAACAACTGATAGTTGAACTTTATTTAGCTGTATTATAAAAAGTCTTAAAGATATGGGGTTGAAACTTCACACTCTTTGTCATTAACCTGTATTCTGTTAAAACAAATTTAAAAAATAAGACCAAGCAATAAAATCTTTGAAAAAAAGTGAATTAATATATAAAAAAGCCTTAGACAAAAAAAAAAAATATGTGATTTTGTCATTATATGAGCCCAAAAATCACAAATAAAACAAATCAAAGATCTGTAGTGTGTTTTATTTTGTTTAACTATAATCAGATATGCCTACAGTCCCGCATTATGTGAAACCGTCCCACAAAAGCATAAAAAATGCTCACATGTTCCGCTATTCCGCATTCACGATTTTTAGTTCCGCCAAGTCTGAATTCCGACACAAAAAAAAAAAATTTGCCGATTTTTCATTATTTATTAATAGTGCGAAATAAAAATACTGAATACAAAATAAAATATATATAGGTCTGTGTTTATTGTTTACATTTCATCTCTTCTCGGACCAGGTGTGTCCTAAATTTACGAAGATATGGTTAAGCTAGATCTAGGTCTAGATACTAGATCTATTCTTAGAATCTAGAAAGTGCTAATAAGCCAAAAGTTCCATTCAAATCCCTTTCTAAGTTTCTTTTCCCAACAATAGCTCTACTAGTCTAGACTAAATCTGTTCTAACTAACACTAACTTGACTAACTCAACTGGTGTCTAAAGTTTCTTAGGACACTTAGGCTTAGGTTTCTATGACTAATGTAATCTAAGAAAAGGATTTTTAAAAAAAATACGTTATTAAATTTAAAGATCTAGATCTAGATATAATTAATTAACTTAGACACAGTATGGCTATGGCCTAAATAAGGCTATATATCTACTCTACTTATTACATAGTTTTAATTAGTATCTAGATTTAGGACTAGCACAACTGTTACTAGATAACTAGATGATACTAAATCTAGATCTAGAAATAGACTTAGAAGGTGATAGATCTCTAGATTTCTATGTATCATTATGTAATAAATTTAGTTCTCAATAAGTCTCTAGATGTATACATAAATATTTAGATCTATAACATAATTATTATAATCTGTGTTTTTAGACTTAGAGGACTTATTAGATGTAGGTCTAGACTAGTAGACTTAAATTATTTTAGATCTAGAACTAGAGACAACATCTAGAGTAAAGCCCTAGAAAAGGATAGATAATCAAGTAATCTAAAATCTAGAATAATCTAGATCTAGTCATTAGATTTAGATCTAGTAGTAGTAACAAATAAAAATATATCTAGACTAGTACCATTTGGTCTAGTCATTAGAATACATTTTTTTTTAGAATTAATCATATAGGAACTATTGATTTCAAACAAAGGACATAATTATGAATTAAAGGTTTTCTTACATTTAATTATACTATTTACATCTAATTTATAAGAAGCAAACTAGTATTGTTATTAAAGTAATAATTAATATAATTGAAGTTTTATTTATATTGCGCACAGTATGGCTGACCAACATAAAAAACGCGTTTATGTTCCACATTGGGGCCCAAAATTCCACATTTTCAAACTGAGTGTTCCACATTCTGGGTCTTGGGGGTAGGCATGTCTGTATAATTCTACTGTATTTAAATAGCTATTTATATGCATCAGATAGATAATTTTTATAAATTAAAAATGAAAATAGCACTGCTCAGAAAAATATTTGCTAAAATTTAATCGCTATAAGTTTAATAAATTTCATAAAAACAGTTTAAACCTTTTTGTAGAGCACTGGCAATTAATCATTTTAAAATGCCTGAATTTAAATGCTTTAAAAATTACATTGTAAATGAAAATTTTTTTGCATCGGACAATAAAATAAAAAAGAAACCTTGCGATTTATTTAGAAGTTATTAAAAGATTTTTTACTTAAATTTTTGTGCAGTAATAGCTCATCATTTTAAAAATATAATGTACTCATTTATTAACTATTAATTTACATGTATACCAATAGAAAAAAACAACACACGGAAAAAAATAATTAATTAATAGTTCGCAGAGCTAAAAATATGAAGAAAAAAAAATTTAATATTATTATTTTAAAATATAATATTTATTTTTACCTTAAAATTTGCACATTACAAAGTCATTATAATAAAGATATATTCCCTCTCCATAATCTAGCATTTAAACATTATAAAAGTTAATCTAAATGAAAAATTCCTATGTGTGCTTCTAAAAATAGGACGTGATAGATAGAAATTGACCATTTCCAGTAAATCACAGTGTTGGTTGTTACTAAAAATAGATTTTAACCATCAACTTTGAGAATTAATATCTAAAGATTGCGCCAAGCTACAAAGTTCAAACTTAGCACTCAGATATGTTATGCTAAATTCAATAGAATTAGTGAGATTGTTGTAACTATAAACACTTTTATTTTATTTAAAAAATAAAATTTTACCCTTCTTTGTATTTGTTAATTTTAATATCAAATATCTTTAAAGTGTGCCAAGAGAATTTAATGAAATTTGAAATATACACATTTCATAATATGATAAATTGTTGTAGCAAACAGCATTTTTGTAACTTTTATAGGAAAAAAGTTGTAAAAATGTCAACTTTTGCATAAACTTTTGTTAAGAAAAATTTAACAGATTGTCTTCAAAAGCATATAAAAATGATCTCTGATATCTTATGTTTACAAAAAGTAATCACAATTAGTCCTGAAATCAAATACAATGTGCTAAAACTTTGATGGAAATGACCACCCCTAAAAAAAGGGTAAAATGTGCTGACACACTTTTCAGCCATTTTTTGGGAGAAAAAAAATGGATCTAGGTCAGTTTATCGAAGTACCTATTTTAAGTTTATTAAAAATTATTTTAATTAGATCTAGATTTAGAACAGTGGTTCCCAAACTCTTTTGTCTCGTAGACCCCTTGCCATGTTTTCCAGTTTTTGGTAGACCCCCTGCTTAGCTATTATTTTAATTTTGTAAATGTAACAACTCAATTTTTGTTTTACTGTTTTTAAACTGTATTTATGTGAATAAAAGTAAAACAAATTATAATGAAGCACATGTTAATTGATATATATACAAATTAAAATGAAGCAAAATAAAATTGAATAAGTTTTACATGAAAGTATGAAGCAAAAAAAAATAGTACAAAGCATATCAGTGGGAAGGATGGGCCTGATGCTTTGATACTAAACTATCAATGTTGGGCTTCCATTTTGTTAGGCTTGATCTTCAATCTCCTCTGTTAGTGATGTCCAGTTTGTTTCTTGGATTGAGTAGAAGATTGGTAACAGGGCTGAACCCTCTTTCCACAAGATATGAAGATGGAAAAGCAATTAGAAACTTTTTGACGATATTCCTTAATATGGGATACGTATCAGGTATATCTTTTTGAAGCCAAAAGAGCTGATATCCTTTTTTAAATTGTACTTTCAGTTCTTCATTAGTACTAATTCCTAGAAGTTCTTCTTGCAATGCTACATCATCCTCTTCTATAATATCAACATATGGATCGATAATCCACTGAGGTATTACTATATTCAGAATATCCTTAAATCTAATTTGAAAATCAGAATATTGGGAATTCAAATGCTCAACATAAATGAAAACGTCCTCCTCTTGACATTTTGTGTGTTCTATATTTGGAAATTGGGAAAATTCGCCACGACCAATGTTTTGCTTCATTAATTTTATTCTTGCAAGAAATGCTGAGATTATGGACTTTGTTTTGATCAAATTCAGGTTATCCCCTTGTTGCTGCAAGTTAACTTCATTAAATTTCTGTCAAATAGGTAATGTTCGATTTCCGCTTAATTAAAGTTTGTTTTAAAATTGAATCTTTATCATGCAAGAACTCTGAAACAGTGTCAAAAAGAGAAAAAAATCTAGTCAGACATAAGCCTTTCGACAACCATCGAACAGTGTGAAGGGGCAGTTGGTGAAAGTTCTCTTCATTTTCTTCACACAATTGAGCAAATAATCGAGTATTCAAAGCGTTGGCTTGGATTCGATTAACAGCAGTAATGACAAACTGAAGAGATTCATGCAATCTGACACTGAGATTTTTAGCAACTAAATGTTGTCTATGGATAACGCAGTGTATTGCTAACACGCCGGGTACATTTTCTTTTAAAAGGCTCACAAATCCTCGGTAGCGTCCAACCATTGCAGGTGCTCCATCTGTTGCTACTGATATTATATTTCCTAAAGGGATCTCTTTTTCTTTAAAGTAGTCCTTCAAAATTTTCAGTATTGATTCGCCTTTTGTGTCAATGGCCAAAGTTTTTGCAAATA